TTGGTGAAAAACACGAAAAGACAGCTGACAGCTACCGATTACTTGGAGTCACACAATGGAAAATGAACGACTTAAGGTCCGCACTTCAGTCACATCAACGTGCACTGGACATCAGACTAGAACTGTTTGGTGAAAAACATGAAGAGACAGCTGACAGCTATTATGAACTTGGAAACACACAATGGAGAATGAACGACTTAAGGTCCGCACTTCAGTCACATCAACTTGCACTGAGCATTAGACTAGAACTGTTTGGTGAACTGAAGACACGAAAAGACAGCTGACAGCTACCGGGAACTCACACATCTGAAGAGCATGCTCTAGGATTGGACTAAAAGAAACTGATGCACTCAGAGACAAAATTTGTACAATATCACTCATTTGCTGTTTTCCGTAAGTTTCATCTCCATTGAATGACAGCTAATGACGCTTGCAAACTCCGTCCTCTCATGTTTCAACCTGTCGATTGTAGCATTTATTCTGTAGGTCTGAGAGTAAATTGTTGAAGATGTAAATGATGTTGGTTGAATTCGTTTATTGACGAAAAAAATAATTATAAAAGGCATAATTACCTTAAAGCTTTGAAGTAAATTTCTTCGAGGATACGGAAGAAAACATCGCAAGAATCAGGAAATAATGAATTTCGCAAAATCATTTGCCATGGGATACTACAATTCGGTACAATACATTGCCGCTTAACTTGATGTAACCTGTAAGTTACAGCCGATACGAGTTGAACTCAATCTTTTTTTACCGTGCATTTCTCTTATTTATCAATTCACCAACTTCTTAATCGCAATAGGATATTAGCATTGCTTGGTTTTACAAGAGAGGTTTTCAATTGAGTGTTGAAAGTAATCATGCAGTTACTATGGTTTTGGTTATACCAGTCTTACTATGGTTTGAGATTGGCTGAGCAGTCTAACTGGTAAGTAACTGATTTGGTTTGGGTCTTACGACACTCAATTCAGTGAAAACCGTTCTAATTGAAGCTCATTTATTAAGAGAATAAATAAGGGAGCCGAGGAAGAATATTACGAAATCTTCCAAGTTCTTTAAAGGTAGTTTGTTAAATGGGTGATGTCCCTCAGAGTATTTAGAATGTAGCGTAGTCTACTATGTAAATCGTTGTAATGCTGATCTTGACATACGATTTTCAGAAAAACATTATGGTTGAAAATAGAAGAATCAAAACAACAAAGTTTTTTGTGTGTCTCTTTGAAAATTTTTGTTGTTGCAAGATAAGGTTACCTTTTGGTGTATTTAACTGATCAGGCGTTTTGCAGTAAGTAGTTCTTAATTTTCTTAATTTTTAAAGTAGTGTCTGATTTTCCGGCCCTAGAACCAAACGAATGCCAAAACGGGAATCAATTCTTAGAGTATGTAGTTGGTGTTGTATGTTCTCAAACAGAAAGAACGTGAGAAAACTGTCCACTTACTTTCAAGGGTGCGATTTTATGCGAAACGGTCGGAATAACTAACAAAGGAAAAGAGGAATTTGTAAATTTCTTAGATGGCAAAACTTGTCTAAATTCTTTAATTTTAGCATTCCTTAAGAACCCCTTTTTCGACGTTTTACTTACTTTTCTTAACTACTCGTAGTTGGGTGTAATTCTGGGTTCGATCGAGCCTAAAGGTCCATTAGGTCAGCCCTTATCTTCAGCTTTACTCCTCCCGGGATCGGGGATGCTAGCCCATCGCAGGGTGACACAACTGCAATGTTCCTGGCCAGGGCTCGAACCCGGATCGTTCGATCCGGAGTATAATTGCATATAAATATAATTTGTATGCAATTACACATGGGCCTATCAATTTACTGTTTACCACCTGCGAGTCATGCGAAGAAGCAAAGTTAGAATTCCTGGTAAAATAAGTAGAAATACACTGCATTACAAATATACACTTAGTTGAAAAAGAGTTTTAAAATTTAGTGGTAAAAGTATTTTAGAAATATATCAAGGTTTAATTCTGATGTATCTGTTCCCGAGTGGGAAGCAGAAAGGGATACATGTATATTTACTGCTACTTTTATAATAGAAGTGCAGCCTAATGATTCAACCGTAATATTAGATCAATTGAAATCCTATGGACACTTCTGTAATTAAGGATTTAGTTTTTTGTCGTTGCAAAGTAGATAAAATAACTGTCTTAAGAAAATTGTAATTTTTGCTTGTAAAGGGCGGTAATATATGTTTAATAAAATACTTTGAATGTTATTTATCTTTGACTGCATTATAAGGCCCTTCAGCCACAATTAATCATCTTTTTACTGACAAAAGGTCTTTCTTTTCACCTCCCTTCTCCTCCCCCAACATAATGTTGATATTGGTCCATCCATCGTAGACCCAAGATTCCAACATTGCTTTGGGGTAGGGGGAGGGGAGGTCGGAATATTAAATTAAGACTCCACATTTTAAGATTATCGTAAACTGCCGCTTATTAGTCTGCGAGCAGGCTCACCTTTGAATCACGCGCACGAGCTGCGAAGAGCAAAGCGAACCGGCGGGAGGGAGTCTGGTGAAGAGGCGCCGAGAAAGACCGAACGTTCGAGGTTAATAAGTTGATGATTACTTTATGGCTTTTTGCTTTAGTTTTGCAGGCCCGTGATCGGCCCGTAGGCATCGGAGGGAACAATGCCCTACTCAAGCCCTACTATTAGCCAACCAGTTAGCAAAAGCCTAGGAAACAATTACGTTTCCACATTGTCATTCTTTTACCTTCATCTGGCTAAAAACGTCGAATTTCAAATCTTCCTGGCCGTTTAAGAGAGGAATAAAACACAACAAAACTTGGGACGGCAAAAAGCTGGCCGTTGAACAGAGGTTTTTATTACAGTGTATAGGTGACAAGTTTTCGCTTAATAGGGGGCCGCTTAATAGAGGTGCGACATAAGATGTTTTATAGCTTGATTGAAAATCATTAGATGAAAAAAATTACTTAGATCAACACTGCTGTAGCTCATTTCGCAACGTTTGTTTTTATGCCGCTTATAAGACCCCCCGGATATAAGCTCATTCAAAACCCCTTACAAAGTTGTATAAGCCCAGAGCTTAAAAGCGGCAGTTCACGGTATGTTTCATTGGGTGATACTTTACCACGTGTCCCGAGAACTTTCGGCCAGGACTAGGATTGTAATCACGTTGTAATGGTTATTCAACAGTTGGTGATAAAATTATACGGACCCTTTTAGCTTCTAAAATTGATAGATCCGAAAACTAGAGTTCAGGAAAAAAATTCAGAATGAGAAATCATTCATGAAGCTGGGCCGTGTAACAATTATGAAAGAATGGGCACTTGACGATGTATATACAATGTATATACCTTTGACTTCTAATGCAAAATACCACACTCATGCATGTTATTAATTAATTTTTAGTATACTCATCATGATGTGCCAACTATACTTTTGGCTCCTGAGTAAATTCGTTGATTTTCTAGAAAAATTACTTTATCAGGCAAGAAAAATTCCTATTTTTCCCCTTATTCTTTCACTTTGAGGTGACTTGGTCGAGATACAATGCTCTGTTTACGACTCTTGTTCCACTGAAAGCACTGCCTCATCCTTTACTTAGCTTCTGTTTCTTGGTTGTCTCTCTTTTCCTAAAAGAAAATAAAAACGCGAAAACTAGCTATGGTAAACTTAAAGTCTGCATGAATTCCTTGAAAGAGTGAGTTCAGTATTAACAATCGAGATTGGATGCTCTTCCTATTTAGTTCAAAAAGTTTAATGCCCGGTATCATTTCGTTCGTTTTAGTCATGATACTTCTTTGTCGTTACGAATTACCGGGAATATCAAAAAAGAATTGTGTCGGCAGTGGTCGATGCAGGTATCTGTTAGCCCAATATTTGCCGGACAGACCTAGCTCTGTCATACAGGACCGGAATGGAGAAAGGGAACGCTCCATATCGAGGACTCAGAGGTCTTAGTTTTATCTTTTTTAGCATGATCACGTACCTGTAAATTATTTTTGCTTGAGCTGACAAAGGCGTGCGAGCTCTATATCATACCTCTTACATCGTTCGTTATGTTTTGATGTCATGGTTGCCACTCGGCATAAATCTACTGCAAAGTGTGTGACTATCATTATTAACTACACTCCTTGTGATATTTGATGAAATGCCTTAATTTTGACCTCAAAATGAAATCTCCTAGTCATCTTCAAACGGGTTTTCCGACTCGTTAACAAAGGCAAACAAACAGTCAGTCCCTACGTACGTCTGAAAATGGTGCAAATAACCAATCACAAGTCGAGGCAAAAACCTGCTCAACCTGCTCAAGAGGGCTTCAATAACAGCTGCAATATTAACGCGCGTTATTTGATGAGGAGAGGCTAAGCACCCTATGACTGTTAGCTCTCTGTGAATGGCAATAGTAGAACATGTGCAGGGTAGTTTGCACCAAACGCCCAGCCCTGTGTACTCCGCCACATTGCCTATCATCTCTAGTGCTTAACACGTCATGGCGTCACATAGCTTACCGTTGGGGTCTGATGACGAAACCGCTTGACCACATTTTGCAGGCTCTGTAATGTTTTTGTGACCTCCATTAGTTTGTGCTGTATCTCTTCTGGAGGAGGAGATTCTTCTTCAGGCTCGTCGATTTGTGGTTTTTCTTTCGCAGAGAAATAGCGATGAATCAGATTTTTGATGACGATTCGGCGCTAGAACAAAGGAAACAAAACGAGTGTTTTTTCTCCGAAAAGGCAATTTAAGCAAAAAATATCAATGTATTTGGTGCCAAGAGTATAGAACCTCAATTAACACTCAGCAATTTTGTCCCCGCAGAAATACTTACTCTCTTTTCGTTTGTCTTCACTCTGGCAGTACTTTGTCCACTTTCAAAATGTCCAAGACACTGCAAAAGAAAGGAATTGAACACGTCTCTCTTCATATGTACTTAAGTACCAAAACAGGACTAAAGACGGAGCAAGGGTTAATCAGATAAGCGCTACTCATTTACACCAGAGAATTTACTTTTGTAATCCAGTGGTATCGTCTTGCGAGCCAGTGAAGCGCCATAGCGGCCTTGTCTATAGGAAACAGGTTAAACGGAGGAGGCAGAGCACTAATCTCACTGACGTAATACATCCAGACACGGGTCCGCGCAAACTTGAACTTAATGTCTTTCTCCTCCTGTAAGAAGAAATATAGTTAGAAGCCTTGTCTTATAGAGGCCACTTCACGGTTAATTGAAATTTCACGTGAGGAAACGTCTGTTAAAACGAGTTCTAGAGTAGGAAAAAAAAAGCGGAAAAAAGACGACACCCTTCTTGCTTAGGTACGTCCCTCAAATTTGGGTAATATAATCTTTTGCCTGATTTGTTTCGTTTTGAATTCAATATGGACGTCTTAGGAAGTGAATCATTTAACATGTGAGTCCCACCCAAACACTGTTTTCAATCGCTACAAACCGCACTTTTAAAGTTGGACGTTCTGCCAGCTAAAATAATTTTCTTGGTAAGGGTCAGTGATTAGGCCATTTCCGAATTATCATCTTCAGCCTCTTTCTCTAAGCGAGTATTGGTGTCCGTCCTTTTATATGAAAATGAAATTTCATTCACATGCAAATTAAATTTATTTTCATATGAATGGTTTTGCAACAGGCCTCGCTTTGATAGAGAGGCTTCGGTCAACTCGGAAATGGGCTATTTGCTTGTGTGCTTGAATGCTATGAAGAGTGCGCATCTTATTCGCCTTCAAACCTAAACAAATTGAAGCGATTTGTTCCAATCAAAATCAAAGACGTTTGAATGGTAAAACAGATAAGTTAGGTGGTCAAATTTCGTGTCAACTCGGGGTCCGAGAGATTGTCATTAAAACACTGTCTCAAACTATGTCCTCCATTACTTTCTGGAACGAGCCGCGATGACTATTGGTTTTTGAAACAATGCACAACAGATCATAAAAAATACCTCTGTCTCTAAAGAAACCAATAGTGAATCAACAATCTCAATGCTTCCTAAGAGACCATGCATTAATATAAAACTTACATCCACTTTCTTATAGGTGTTACTGAGCATGGCAATGAGAAGATTCAGTGCAACCAACACGGAAGCGAGGCTGTATGTAGCGAACAGTAAATGGCCCGTGACTTCAGTTATTTGAGCTTGGTCACTGGTGTTGAAGGTGGACATTTCTACGTGCCCGAACAATGCCCAAAATAAGGTGCCAAATACTCCCTCAATTCTGTCAAGCAAGAGAGAAAAAAGATTATTTAGTAATTTAGAATGTTTTTTTTTATCATTGATAATCTGAAACCAATTTTATCACCTTGACATCAGCTGGTAATAAAACACACAGCAATTACGAAAGAACGGTTTAAAAACTCTATTCAGGGAAGTATGACGAGCGCAAAGCACGGAAAATGACTCGGAAGGGATAGCATGTTACTACACTGCATGTCTACTAGGATGGTGCATACATACAGCGTAATAACCAGCTACCAAACCAGGCCTGATGATTCTAGAGAGACAATTCAGGTGGTTTGTCATGAAAGCGTGGTATTACGGTTACACTTCTTGTGTAAAGATAGGTTTAACTATATTTATAATTTGTCGTATTTAGCAGTTGGAAAGTTTAGAGGTAGGGTAAGATACCTTTCAAAGGCGTGGCTTGTTGTGGTGTTGCTGTTCTTTGTGACCTGTGTCGAGGTCTGCACGTACTGTGAGTACAGTTTTCTCATGGCGAGAGCAAACGCACAAACGTTGAGGGAAAAAAGCACGAAAAACTTCATGATATCTCTGCCCATATTCATGAGCGATAAGTGAAGCGGTCCCAAAGTGGAGTCAACCAGAAGAACGTGGGAAGCCTCAAAGAATGTCAGAATCACTGC